CATGCAGGGAATCAGCAATTGACTATTAAGACATCCCCCACCCCCACCCTGGTGCTGGGGATTGAACCCAAGGCCTCCTCCATGCTAAAGCAATATTCTATGACTGAGCTACACTCCACCCCTTTTAAGATAGGCTCTCAGAAGTTGCCCAGGCTGGGCTCCAACTTGTGATCCTCCTGTATCAGCCTCCTGAGTAGCTAGGATTACCAACATGTACCACAGTGTCTGGCTTCTGAGACTGTTGTATACCCCTGGAAAAGCTCTGTAGTCTAAAATAAATAAATAAATAAAATAAAAAACAAAACAAAACAAAAAAACAGCAAAAAATGGGCTGGGGATTTAGCTCAGTGGTTTCATTGCCTGCTGTGCAAGCGCAAGGACCCAAGTTCGATCCCCAGTACCCCCCCCCCCAAAAAAAGCTCTGTAGTCTAGTTAAGAAGAGTCTTGTGTTCTGGTTTTATTCTTCTGCTTATGAGCTGAGTTGCTGCCCCTGTCTGGAACCTTAGTTCGCCATTTTTTAAATGAAGAAAATGTATATTTAATGATAATTGCTTAAGTTGTTACCTACCTACCAATTAAGGAACACTTAATATATACCAGGCTTTATACTGTATTATCTCAGGTTATCTTCATCAGAATATGAGGTGGGTATAATTACTCTCATTTAAAGATAAACTGGGCATGGTGCCACATGATTGTAATCCTAGTGCCCAGGAGGCTGAGGCAGGAGGATCACTGTGAGCTCCAGGCCAGCCTGGGCTACATAGTGACTTCACGCCCAGCCTGAACTTCATAGTGAGAGCCTGTCTCAAAATAAAAATAAAAGGGCTGGGCTGGGGATTTAGCTCAGTGGTTCTGCTGCCTGCCTTGCAAGCACAAGGTTCTGAGTTCGATTCCCAGTACCAAAAAAGAAAGAAAGACTGGGGTGATGGCCTAGCATCCCTCTGGCCAATAATAAAAGCACCACAAAACTCATGTTATTCATAACATCTTGGAGCTGGAAGGGAGCTATGATGTAATCTAGGCAAATAAAATTGATAGCATCGGGGCCAGGGATTTAGCTCAGTGGCACCTCGCTTGCCTCATAAGTGCAAGGTCCTGAGTTCGAGCCCCAGTACCAAAAAAAAAATGTTTTTGATAGCATCGAAGTATTTGTCATGTTCAAAAGTACAAGACAATTTTAACTTTTTAAAATCATTCAGATTGCTGAGTGTTGCAATTGGTGGAGGGTGAGGCAGGAAATTTGCAAGTTCTAGGCCAGCCTGGACTATACAGCAAGACCTTATCTCAAAAGAACAATAAAAGCTGGGTGTGATGCTTCACACTTGTAATCCCAGCACTTGGGAAGCTGAAGCAGGAGGATAACTGCAAGTTTGAGGCCAGTCTGGACTACACAGTTAGTTTAAGACCAGCCTGAACTACGTAGCAGGACAAAAAACAAACAAAAAACCCAATAAAATAAAATAATTCCAAATTAATTCCATTAATCTGATTTTATTTTTAAAGGCCTTCTAAGATTTTGTCAAGTTTACTGTAATAATCTTCCCCTAGGGCAGAAAAAGCTTTTATATTTGACAGATACAAGAAATACGATTTTCCAGACTGGTGCCAATATAAGATGAAGTCATAGTAAAACTGACACTCTGGGGGCCAGGGATTTAGCTCAGTGGTTCCACTACCTGCCTTGCAAGCGCAAGGTCCTGAGTTTGATCCCCGGTACCAATAAATAAATAGTATGAGGTGCTATATTTTATTGTCTCATTTATTCATGAATAAATACTTTTTATAACCCCCTGTTATATGCCAAACTGTGTAGAATACTAAAGCATACCTTAGGGATACAGAGACAACAAGTTATCTCTGCCCTTAAAGGACTCACATGGTTTAGGCAAAGAAGTGACTAACTGTATAATAGGGCGGAGTTGTTTGTTTGGTTCTGGTCTTGGTTTGTGCAGTAGTAGGGATCAAACCCAGAGCCTTGCTGTACTAGGCAAGCATTCTACCACAGAGCTGTACCCAGCTCATAGGGCAGGTTGGTCTGTTGTTTATTTTTGCAGCACTGGGGATTGAACTTGGATTTTTGCACTGAGCTTCACCCTTGGCCCCCACAGGCATGGGGCAAGTATTCTTACAGCAGTCCTTTCCGGCTGCATTGAGAGCCCTGAAGAGGGTCCCACAAAGGTGTCAATAGTTGATGAGTAGAAATTTTCCAAGCAGGGAAGGGGATCAGTGTGATTTCAGGATGAATAAAAACACAAAAATGTGAAAGATTATGGAATCTTCAAAGTAAAATGAAAAGTTCAGGGTAGCAAACTGCACAGGTGACAAAAGAGACAAGGCTGGGGGTTTCCTTTGGGAGCTAGACTGAGAAAGCCTTGAATGCTGACTTGGATTTTATCTTTTAGCCAGTGATAAGCCATGGGAGGTTTACAATAAGGAGGCTAGTGGGTTAACCAGAGGCGTTATTCTAGAAGGATGTCAAGAAGGACATGAGTAGAAATGAAAGGGGAAGATAACCCAGCTGAGAAGGTTCTGTTCTAAAGTGACAGCAGTCGACATGAAGATGAGACAAGATGGAAAGATTTGTTTTGTGGATACTGAAGATTGAACCCAGGCCCTTTTCACTGGGTGATACCACCAGCCTTTGTTTGTTTGTTTGTTTTGTTTGTTAGTTTTTTGAGATAGGGTCTCATTATGGAGCCCGGGCGGGCCTCAAGTTTGTGGTGATCCTCCTGCTTCAGCCTCCCAAGTGCTGGGATTACAGGTGTGCGCCACCATGCCCGGCTACCACTTTACTTTTGCCTTTTTTT